AAAACACAGAGGAAACCATCTGACCAACGACAGTTGTTGATCACGGCGAATCAGGGGCGATCGAATTCTGCTGCTGCTGGGAAGACCAGGCCTCTCCTACTTTCTGGGGAATCATCCAATCTCGCCACAGTGCCTTCCAATGTAAGGGTCCTGGAGAAATCGCCTGCAACCCCGTTGATCAGACATAGGGAGCTGCTGACCGAGTTCGCAAAACTCTAGCACACCAAAGAGCCGATGGATACTTCGAACAACAATAGGGATTGTGATATGGTGGAGGCAACCAGGCCGAACTAGTCTCACCTGGCGCTATGAGTATAATTACTTGGAATTGTCGGGGACTTGGCTCACCCTTGACGATTCCCTCTCTGTTTGGAGCTGTATGTAGGTTTTCCCCTTCTGTTATCTTCCTCATGACAATGACTATGTAAATAAGAAGCTCATGCGTCTGGGGTTCCAGTTTGTCCATTGTGTCTCCCCTGTTGGTACAACAGGCGGCTTAGTAGTAGCATGCTCCTCTAATGTTCTGTGTAGGGTTCTAGGTCAGGCTGAGTTCTTCTTGTTTGTTGAACTTCAGCATGTGGTTTGGGGTTTGTTAGCAATCCTCTTTGTTCATCTCAGTAGTGATGTAAATATCCGTCAAGATCAGTGTAATGACCTTATTAACTTGCTTTCGTCTTGTGGCTTACCAAAAGTAGTCATAGGTGACTTTAATTGTCTACTTCAGACCAATGAGAAGATGGGCAGCAGACCACCCTCCTTCCAGGTGATGGAATCCTTTCGTGCCTTTATTGATGGTGCAGGTTTGCTTGATTTGGGATTCAAAGGACCTCCGTTTACATGGTCTAATCGTCAAGGACTATCCACTCACATATTAGAGCGACTGGACATAGCATTAGTCACTGATAATCTCCTGTCTCTTTGGCCTCTTATGCAGATTACACACCTCTCAGACCTTGGTTCAGATCATAGGATCATCTTGCTGCAACTAATTCCTGGAGCAGGGAAAGGGAAGCCCGCGGTTCCATTATGATCGAAGATTGTGTCCCAACACTGATGCACGTGATATTGTCTTTGGCGAATGTCAGGTTTCAGTGCAAGGAACTCCTCAATTCCAGCTGTTCTCGCTCTTTAAGGCAGTGAGGCATCGTCTTGTAGAATGGGCAAGGATGGGTACCACCAACTCTGCAAGGCAAATCAGGGAACTAAGATCTGCTATAGAGGCTGAACGGGACGCACTAACAGTGAATTGGGAGGAGATTCAGGGCCTTAAAAATCAGCTCGCGGCGGCGTATCTGCAAGAGGAAGCTTATTGGAAATAGAAGTCCAGAACTACTTGGCTGCAAGTCGGTGATGCCAACATGAATCACTACTACCTTTCAACTACTCAACGGCGGCGACATAATCGCATTGAAGTCTTGCAAGATGAAGCTGGGGTTCGGCATTTTGATGAGGATGGTAAAGGGAGTGTCTCTGTTGGCTTTTTCCAGCACTTGTTTATGTCCAATGGGATCCCCCCCCAACTTCTTGGTGAATGCTTTGGGACTTCACCCGAAGATTACTCATGCACAGAACTCTTTCCTTCCTGCACCTATCACACGTGATGAGATTCAAGTTGAAGCATTCAACATAGGTCCCGGACAAGCTCCGGGGTTGGATGGGCTGACCGGTGCATTCTTTCAAACGTATTGGGACATTATTGGAGACTCAGTTTGCAAGGCAGCCTTGTCTTTCTTCTGGTCTGGCCGCTTGCTGCAAAACTTCAACCACACCATGATCACTCTAATCCCGAAGGTCCCTAATGCTGAGTTGATGAAGCAAATGCGTCCGATCAGCCTATGCTAGGTTTTCTACAAGATCATATCCAAGATCCTCACTACTAGGCTGAGTGTTATCCTTCCCTCTATGATTTCCGACTCTCAGAATGGCTTTATCAAGGGGAGAGATATCTCCGACAACATTCTTATTGCTCAGGAAGTCATGCAATTCCTAAAGACGAAGAATAATGGAAGGGACAAGTGGATGGCTCTCAAATTGGATATGGAAAAAGCATACGACCGGGTCGAATGGGGTTTTCTCTTTGCAGTAATGGAAGCTCTAGAATTCGGTCCTGAGTGGATGAAATGGATAAAATCGTGTGTCTCTACAGTCACTTTTACTATTCTTCTCGTAGTGAACATGGGTACTTCAGACCTCAACGGGATATTCGGCAATGTGATCCACTTTCACGTCTCCTTTTCGCTATTTATACAGAAGCTTTCTCAACTCTGCTTCATAATGCGCTTGAGTTGCAGCAGTTACATGGCTTGAAGGTCCATCGGCTTGCACCAACTATCTCCCATTTATTCTTCGCCGACGATACCTATCTTTTCTTGCGTGCATCCACATCTGAGTGTGATAATCTGATCAAGTTGTTGCGTCCTTTTGAGGAGGCTAGTGGACAGTGCATAAACTTACATAAATCCTCAGTCTGTTTCAGCTCTAATGTTAGTGACCAGGAGAAGAATATGTTGGCTAATTTGCTTGGTATCACCTCCATTGGACCCCTTGACAAATATCTTGGGCTCCCGACTCAAATTCAGCGTTCTAAAGTGCAGATTTTCCAGTTTGTTGAAGATAACCTTGCTGCCCGCATACAAAGTTGCGTTCCAAATCCCTCTCACTAGTTGGAAAGGAATTTTTACTCAAGATTGTTGGTTCAGCAATGCCGGTCTATACTATGTTCTCCTTCCGACTTCCATCTTCGTCTTGTCGCAAGCTAAATAGCCAGCTTGCTAGATTCTGGTGGGCTGGGCAAGATAAGGAGAGAGGAATGCACTGGATTTCTTGGATGGCAATGTGTGTCAGCAAATTCCATGGAGGCCTCAGTTTTAGGGACTTCAACCTCTTCAATGTAGCGATGCTTGATAAACAAGCTTGGAATATATTGATGTGTCCGGATTCTCTCCTCGCAAAACTGTACAAGGCTCGTTATCACCCGCATTGTGACTTTCTCTCTGCACCAGCTGGTTCCCACCCATCTTGGACCTGGCAAGGTGTTCTTGAAGAGTGTAATCTGCTGAAGCAGGGATTGAGATGGCAGGTAGGATGCAGATCAGCAATCCACACTCTTGAAGACCTCTGGTTGCCTTCGACCCCTCCTTCTTCTCCGTCCCTGCTTCCTGGTATATCTCTCCTAAATCCTTTTGTTGTTGCCCTTATTCATCCAATTACCAGAACTTGGAATGGAGACTTGATTCGTGCATCTTTTACTCCTGAGAGTGTGTCATGGATCCTCTCTATTCCACTTCCATCCGCACCACAACGGGACAAGCTCATTTGGCATTACTCCAATATTGGCCAACAATCTGTGTCAGCAAATTCCATGGAGGCCTCGATTTTAGGGACTTCGACCTCTTCAATATAGCGATGCTTTGTAAACAAGCTTGGAAGATATTGATGTGTCCGGTTTCTCTCCTCTCAAAACTGTACAAGGCTCGTTATCACCCGCATTGTGACTTCATCTCTGCACCAGCTGGTTCCCACCCATCTTGGACCTGGCAAGGTGTTCTTGAAGGGCATAATCTGCTGAAGTAGGGATTGAGATGGCAGGTAGGATGCGGATCAGCAATCCGCACTCTCGAGGACCTCTGGTTGCCTTCGACCCCTCCTTCTTCTCCGTCCCTGCTTCCTGGTATATCTCTCCCCAATCCTTTCGTTGTTTCTCTTATTCATCCAATTACCAGAACTTGGAATGGAGACTTGATTCGTGCATCTTTTACTCCTGAGAGTGTGTCATGTATCCTCTCTATTCCACTTCCATTGGCACCACAACCGGACAAGCTCATTTGGCATTACTCCAATACTGGCCAATACACTGTCAAACAGGCTACCAGCTGCAAGCAGCCAGCAGACAGCTTCAGTTTGATCAGCTTCCTCCACACCTCAATACACAGTTCTGGAAGACATTATGGAGCCTTCCAATCCCTCTGAAACTCAAGTTCTTCCTTTGGCGGGTTGTAAGAGGCTTCGTCCCAATGCAATCTATCCTTAAGCATCACTGTGATTCTGATGTTTGTTTGGTCTGTTCAGTTAGTGCAGAAACCATTTCTCACTGTCTCTTTGAATGAAGGATCGCCCGAGCTATTTGGACTCTTGCTGGGAAAGAGCAGGTTCGGCTAGCTATGGCTAGTGTGACCAATGACTTTGCTTGGCATGCTCTTTTCTTCTCTATGTAGCTCTCGAAGATGGAAATTGCAGAAGTAGTGTTCCTCACTTGGCGCATATGGAAAGGTCGATGTTGGTCAGTCTATGACAAACTCCAATATCTACCAGGTCACCTCTTTCGTCAATACACTCGACAGGTAGAGGAATGGCGAGAGGCGACCGCTTCGCCAAGGGATCAAGCTATTCAAGCGAGGCAGGTCAGGGAACCAGCAGCATGTCCAGCATGCCCCCCAGGTGGCCTTCTTGTCCGATTCGATGGTGCGACAAGGCGAGGAGTGGGAGGCAACATTGGCTTCGTTGGATTTGCTAGCAACCATTCCTTGGTTTGTGCATACGGTAAGTTCTACGATGGCAATACCGGACCCATTCTTGTTAGAATTGTTAGCTTTGCGTGACGCAATGTTATGGAGCCTTAATCGTGGTTATTCTACTGTCTGTTTCTGTGGTGATTCCCAATTGGTCATCCGACGTGCATTGGAGAATGATGTCAATCATGATCGCGGAGGAGCGGTGCTTGAGGAAGTGCGGAAGTTGAAGACTTCTTTTGCTTTTATTTCTTTTGTTTTTGCTCCTCGTAGAATTAACAGGGCGCCCATCGCGTGACACAAACGGCCCTTGCATCGGTAGCGACCCATTTGATTGACTACCACTATTTTATTTCCACTGCACTGTAAATCTGTAATACCCTATCTATTACGATCTATCTATGACAAAAAAAAAATACCAACATTGATAATCCTAGAACGGGATGTCTTTCAGACTTTCACCATCTCACGTAATGGTAAGCAATTGGCCATCACACGATTAACTAAAAATAGGGACCTGGCTTCTCTAGCACGTTCGTTTCCTCTCAAAAATTACAACGGAAAAAATAAAATCCCATCCCCAGTCCCAGGAGAAAATTCCCAATTTCCCTCCCAAAACCAACACCCACCGGAAAACAAACAAACAAACAATAAGCAGCTCCCTCCCTCTTTCTCGCTCTTTCTCGCGTCAACAAACAGAAAATCCCAGGAAAAACAAACAAACAATCTCACACACGCAAATCCTCCTCTCTCACATTTTCCCCCTGCTCTGGTCTGGATGAATGAGTCTGTTCGACAGGTTCAGATCCCAGGCCCCATCCACCCCCACCAAGTCCCCATCCACTCCCACGCAGGCCACCATGATGAAGAGCCTCCACGACTCTGACCACTTTCAGGCTGCAATGGCGGAAACCCCCAGATCGCAGCAGACGGCCCTGTCCCAGGTGGCCGACGCGTTCGAGGAGCTGGCCGATCACCTGGCAAAATCCAGCCGGAGAAACAACGACGCCGGATCGCCACAACAAGAAGAAGAAGATGGAGGAGAAGAAGAAGAAGGAGAGCCGGAGCTTCGATTGGATTCCTTCTGTCAGGCATGCTCTTTGGTCTCCGTCCTCTTCAGCTGCCTCGGTCTCGCTTTTAAATTCGCCGAGACAGAGTACGTCGCCAAGGTCCACATTCTCTCGTCTCTCTCTCTCTTCTCTTCTCTTCTCCAATTTCTTCACCCCGGCGGCGATCCATTTCAAAGTGCGGTTTATCGCGCTGCCTGATCTCATTCTTCGTCTTCTTCGGTCTCAGGTGCGTGATCTGGTCGAAGCGTCCAAGACGTTCGAGAATCTGCAGAATGTGGTGGATGTGGATGCCGCCAACGGGACGGTGAGAACTGCAGGCAGCCATACCAGAAACCTGCGTCGGGTTCGTCAAGGTCTCGACCTAATCAGGGGAATTTTCCAACAATTCGTCGCCTCCGAGTAAGCTGCTCTGCTCTTCCTTCGATTCATCATCCATTTCTTATTTCCTTTCTCCTGTGTGCCTGATTCATCCATGGCGGCTTTGCAGCGATAATTCGTTGAAGGATGCTGCGACCACAGCTTACGCGCAAATCTGCGCTCCTTACCACACCTGGGCGATACGGACGGCGGTTTACGCCGGAATGTACACGCTCCCCACGCGGGAGCAGCTTCTGGTGAGGCTGGAAGAAAGTGGTAAGTGACACAAAACTACAAACTCTCCCTGCCCTCCATGGCAATCATTCGTGTTTTTTTTCTTCTTCTTCGTTCCTTTTCTTCTCATTGCTGTTTCCTGAGCCGCTTTTGTTCCTGTTTGCAGAGCAGTCGGCGGAGAAGAAGATGAAGAGGTACATCCAGGCTTCGCTTCCAGTGATCCAGTACATCGACAGGCTTTACACTTCCAGGAATATCACCTTGGATTGGTAAGCTCCAACAATTCTTGTGAATTTTGAATGGCTGCAGCCTAGCTCACTCCCCTGTTGCTTCAGAAACAGAGCAACTCAATCCCACCGCCGGCCAGCATTTCGGCCAGTTTGTTGTATTTTACTACCTGTAACTGGTTGCAACTTGCAAACCACATTCTTCACCATATTAGACTCTTAGGATTCATTTTGTAAAAGAAAAAAACCCCCTCGATTCCTTTTGTAGACAACACCAATATTATATGTGACTTGTGTGTACATACAAACAGTTGTCTGCAGAAAAAGCAAGTTTTGCAAGATCATCCCAAGAAAACTCAGAGAAATGATTTTTGAATAGGCTGTCTATGGAACTCTCAAGAGCACTTTTATTCTTATCTTTAACACAACTAGCCGAGAGCATAAGTAACCTCTGCGATGAGGGAACGACACCCTTTTCAGCTCAGAAGCAAAATGAAAGATTATATTACAATTAGTGAAAACTGGGCAATGAAAAGAAGAAGAAAAGAAAGAAGCAGGTTTCCACAGGCTTACGCGAAATCGAATTGAATACACTCTATCTTGTCCGGTGATTGAATTGATCGAACCTATCCCCTCGTAGCAGCTACGGCTTGCCTACATAGTGAGGCTTTCAGGGTTCTCAATGATCTTTGAGAATGTCTTGAGGAAGGCAGCTAAGTCAGCACCGTACACAATCCGATGATCAGCTGTTACATTCACCTGCAACACAAACAGATGCATCGGTTTCAATTGAAATACCGGTAAAACCATGGAAGATGCAAGAAAAAGAAACGTGAAAGAACAGAGAATGGACATGGAAAGAGGATGCGCCAGGCGCATATTCATTTGTTGTAATCTTAGTCAAGAAGAAGGCATTACATTCTTCCTAGCAATATATATAAAATAACTGGCTGGTACCCTGCCATACTTTGTAAGACGAACCAAAATCATAGAACTTCTATATCACCATCCTACCAACGAGCTTAGCAGTATTGTCCACAAGGGGAAGTGATATTCTATTGGCACAGGTACCTATAACAGTCTTATTGGAGGTCGGAACATAAGATGTTTACTGTGAGCTCCTAATGTAGTTAGTCATTACATAACTGAAACTAATCAACTCAGGCATTAGAGTCAAAAAGTGAATTAGGTGATCAAGTAAACAAGCAAACCAAGCATATGTAATTTGAAGGTTCATATCTAATGCCAAGCACAGGGCGAACTGAGACCTAACAACTCATAATGGTGTCTTTTTTTTGGCAAAACTAGGGCTTGAGTGCAACCCTAACAGAGTGAAAGCGTATCCTAACAATATCCATAAAATTCAAGGCAGCCCCAACTTTTGACAGCAATATCATGCACTAGCAGCTAGCGCGTTGCATAATTTTCTACGCCGTGATTTTCCTGACAACTCCACAACACAAGCACTCGCCAAGTCATGCAATAGTAATGGAAACCTAATGACTTTTAAATAGAAATAAAAAAACATCAGCAGAAATTAAAATTGATCAGAACTTTGATAAGGTGCTAGTTCCGTTGGCCAGCTACATAGTAAATATTCGCATAACTTAAGTCAAAATGAGTTCAAGTGATGTTTGTCTTCTCTGTTACATTGTCAAAGCGGCAACTATGCCAGACAACAGAAAGTTTGGTTTCGGTGGATCATGTGGGCGGTCAATATTGTTAAACGTCTGACTCAATGAAATGCTGAATACTACGGATCACAGATGTGGTTGCATTTCATCAATTTCAATGTGGCCGAACTGAGCAGTATGTTCTAATAGCATGCACAATTCTCACCAACGATCTTGAAGTGTAAAAGCATAGAAATCAATGTTAAGCAGTAAGTTATAGTCATGGCTGTTTGATTATCAAACTCACCAGCATTTTGTTTTTCACACTGAAGAACCCATCCTTATCAGCGACTACAGTAGGCTTTGAGGCTCCAACAGCCATGATAGCACCCTGTAAGGACCATTTAAAGCAAATTCAGATTGGTTATAGAACCTCAAAAACCCTACTTGAGTCAATGAAAACAATGAGGACTAGTACTCACTTGGCCGGGGGGAAGAATAGCATCAAATCTATCCACTCCAAACATTCCCAAATTGGATAGAGTAAAAGTTCCTGTACAAGGATAATTACAAAACCATTTGGATCATCCAAATACATTCTAGAATGTGAACCGAATTTGAAACACGTTAGAATGATAAGCAGAAAAAAACCTGAATTGTACTCATTGGGCTGAAGTTGCTTGGCTCTGGCCTTCTCCACTAGCTCTTTCCATTTTTGGGACAATAGATAAAGGTCCAGCTGTTACAACAGAACAATTCACCAACCTAATCATATCAGGTTCTCGTCACCCAGTACACTAGTTAATCCCTACAATAGGAAGTGGAAAAACGAACAAACCTTGTCAGCATCCTGAAGGACGGGAGTTATCAACCCGCCATTGATTGCCACTGCAACAGCAATGTTAATGTTATCGTTGTAAGTAAAACTCCTTCCGTCTTTGCAGCTGGCATTAACAACTGGGTGCTGAGCAAGTGCCATCGCGGCAGCCTTTGCCAACAATGCAGTCATTGTCACACCCTTCGGTTTCACCTAACAACACAAAGAATATCATCATCTCGCTATGATTCAACTATGGCAAGCATTTCGAACACGAGAAGTAACCTAAATGTCCCTCATTATCCCCAACCAACCATATAATCGAATCTAACTCGCTTTAAACGAAAGGTTGAATGTTCAGAATTCTCCATTTTCCAGTAGTTTAAGGAGCTGTAAGGCATTTGTGAAAAAACATGATCATGAAATGCATCCTAGGGAAATACCTTCTCGTAGAGGGCATCAAGAGCATCCGTCGCGATCGGATACCCCACTCGGAAACTGGGCACGGAAAGACTCTCCAACATGTTCTTGGATACCGCGGCTTGCATAGTTGTAAAAGGTACAACTGTAGAACCTGGCAATGCAGGGGTTGAAGGAGCGGATGCAGCTTTAGGAGGCGCAGCAGCAGCAATTGGAGCAGGCTGCGCAGCCACGGCAGGGGCGGCTACCTTCGGCTTTGTAGGCACAATCCCGGCGGCAGCTTCAATGTCTCCAGGCGTTACCCTACCGAATGGCCCTGTCCCAACAACCTTACTAATATCCACCTTGTGCTGCTTAGCCAATTTCTTAGCAAAAGGCGTCGCCACCGTCTTCCTCGGCCCGTCTGCGGGGAGCGGCGGCGGAGGAGCCGAAGCAGCAGGAGCAGGAACAGGAGGACTCGGGGAAACAGCTGGGGTAGCTGCAGCGGGAGCAGGAGCAGAGCCACCGGCGCTAGCAGCTTTGGCTTTAGCTTCAGCGATTTCATCTTCAGTCTCGGCTAAGAGCCCGATCGGGGCGCCGACGGGAGCGGATTCGCCTTCGGGAACGACAATTGCGGCGAGGATGCCGTCGTAAAACGTCTCGACGTCCATATCGGCCTTATCGGACTCGACGACGACGACGCTCTCGCCCTTGGAGAGAAGGTCGCCTTCGGATTTGATCCAGGACACGATCTTGCCCTCGGTCATGGTGGAGCTGAGCGCCGGCATGAAGATCTCCCGAATCTTGGACTGAACCCTAAGCGCATTGCCGGTTCTCCGGTGGCGGCGGAGGTAGAACTGGGAAGGGAAGAGGGGGAGGGCGGGCGAGAGGGAGGCGGAGAAGGAGATGGTGGTGTTGGAGGGCGTCGGCATCTTGGTGAGAAGTGAAGAGGAAGCGGACGCCATTGTTGAAAGCTAGACTAGGGAGAAATTGGTTGGAGGGGAACAAAGGAATGGCGTCAATTGGAGTGGGAGCAGTGGAGAAGAAGAGAGGAGAAAGGAAGGGGGCGGAGAAGACAAGGGTGAAGTGGTGGGAAAGTTTGGAGCGACACCAACGGACTCGCTATGATTTCATCGAATGCCTGCCAGTTCGTCAATAGCGTTATTCTCCTAACCGTGTTAGTGGTTAGCATATACTAATACGGTGGGATGAGGGGTCACGTCGCCGAGCCACCATCGGAGGGTTCTGGGTTGCCGGCGCTGTTCTGTGAGGGGGAGAGTTTTTGGCCAAGCCGAGCAATTTTTCTCAAAAGTGGGGACAGAAATAAAAAAAAATAAAAAAACAAAAACCCAAAACCCACTAAACCCGCGTCATCAGCCATTCTCTCTCCCCCTCTCTCCAACTTTCGAACCCTCCTCCCTTTCTTCTTCTCCCGAAAACCGCAGAAAACCACCGCGCCACCGAGGTCTGCGACGGCGACGAGGAAAGCGACGGCAGCGAGGTCGGCGACCGCTTGTTGGATCTCCCGCCGACGACGAAAGCGTTGACGCTGGACCGACCGAGGAGGAAGAAGAGGCCGCCGACGAAGAAGAAGAGGGAGCCGACTTCGCCGACGAAGAAGGCCGCCGCCGTCGCCGCCAATAGTGGAAGGTAGAAGAAGACTGAGGTAGTTCTATTTCTCTCTTTATTGTTCATTTTGTTTGTGGATTTGAATATTTATGTTAGGGTTTTTTTTTTTTGCTTCGTTTTTTGGATCTGAGATTCATTGTTAGGGATATGGGATTCTTGTTGGGGGATTTGAGATTCGATTTGGGGGATCTGGGATTTTCTGTGGCTGGATTACATATATTTGATTTAGGGTTTCATAGATTCGACTGGATCTGAGTTTTTTTTTGTTTCGTTTTTTGGATCTGAGATTCATTGTTAGGGATCTGGGATTCTTGTAGGGGGATTTGAGATTCGATTTGGGCGTTCTGGGATTCTTTTGATTTGGGGGATTTGGATTTCTTTCGATTTGGGGGATCTGGGATTTTCTGTGGCTGGATTACATATATTTGATTTAGGGTTTCATAGATTCGACTGGATTTGAGTTTTTTTTTATGCTTCATTTTTTGGATCTGAGATTCATTGTTAGGGATCTGGGATTCTTGTTGGTGGATTTGAGATTCAATTTGGGGGATCTGGGATTCTTTTGATTTGGGGATTTGGATTTCTTTCGATTTGGGGGATCTGTGATTTTTTTGTGGCTGGGATTTCTTTCGATTTGGATTCCTTTTAATTTGGGGGATTCGTTTTTTGATGTCGATATTGTTTGGGGTTTCTGGATTTTGCTCGTTAATTTGATATTTTTTTACCTGGAAAATTGTTTAGCTGGCATGGGATACCATTTAGTTTAATGTGGATATTGTTTGGTGGTTGATTGTTCGGATATTGGTTATGTGATGCATAGATATTTGTATGCTAGGTCTGGATATATTTATGCCCTGTATGGATATTAGTTCAATGATATTAGTTCTTGGCAAAATACAGCTGTATATCCACAACTATCAGGTTTGTGACAAATATATCCACAACTATCGAAATACACGAAATATCCAAAAATCGAAAGATTGTGTGACAAATCTATCCACTTCCGTCTGAAACTATAACGGCGTGTCAGAC